CTCTTCTCTCTCATTAGGGCTATAACCGATGACATGTGGTACTTCGGTTGTATCCTGCTCCAAGGTGATGTTGTAAACTTCAAACTACTTCGCTACTTCTCACCAATTCCTTTTACCTATCACTCCATTAGTCACCAACCATCCCCACATTCCTCAACCACTCCACCGCCACCCCAACTTCTTCCACTCCCTTGCCATCCAACCCACCTACAACCAACCCTACACAATTCTATAACTACCCAATGATTGCTAACCCTGTCGACGCCGCTACCACCTTCGAGTCTCTTCCTATAGCTCTAGCTAGTGATTTGTCTATTATTATATTTCCCTTTTGTTGAGTCGAATTGTACTAATATTTTTATATTAATAAAAGTTTACTTTTTTTGTATTTCACCACATCCCAACTAGTTCTGGTATCACTCTCTATCTTGAACACTTGGAATACATGTCAAACCCAAGAGGCATGACTACCTAGTACCTCCTTTGTGATAAGGCACGTAAGGCAGGATCCATTTAATGGGACAACTTAACCAAGAGACGAACATAGGAGCATGGCAGTGTAGGACTTAATTATGAGTTATTATTAGCAATCTACCCATTTGAGTTTGAAAGGGACTCATCAACATGATAAACTCAATTGAATAGCAAATACCCCAAGTTATCTTATATATATTTCAAGCATGATCATTTGCTATTATTGAGCTATACAATTGATTCTCAGAATGAGTTCTTCAATTTTTTATGGTTCTCGAAACTTTTAACTCGTCTTATGGATTTTTTATTAATTTAAATAAGTTAATTTCTTTTGCAATGGTTTCAAAATTTGAATCATATAAGTTCACCTTATAATATTTCATAGCAGCATAACAAGAGAAGGAAATTTCATGATAAATGAATACATATATAACATTAAAATTTATTAATTTAACTAAGATAACGCATTGGTTAAACTGTCTTAATCTTCACTCTCTCCCTCTGAACTCGGCTCCTTCATCATTTCATTAAACTTATTCATATCCTACGACCCAAAGGAAGAACTTTCTTCCGAGTCAAATTACCTCAACAAATTCAAAAAGTCCTTAAATGACGTATGACAAATTCAAATGGTTCTTAAATGTCTTCATTATAGTCATTTTCACATAAGCTACTCCATTCTGGACTTTAATTCTGAACATTTCCTCTCCAAAGAATCAATTTGTTGTCGACGAGTTTTTGCCAAATTGGTCAATGTGGTAGTAGTCAAGTTCATTCTCTTTACTTTCTCATAGCATTTGGCTAGGGCTCCACTTTGCTCAACAATAGTAGCCTTATCAATCAAGACTTTTTTCTTCACCTCATCGAGCTTAATTTTCAAACTACTTATTATATTTTTTTTATCAACAAGGTCTCTCACAATTCACCTATGAGACCTCACTAGAGAAAAAGAGAACTATCACACTACAACTAGTAATCGCATAGCAGCGAACGACAACTTGCATTCACCATCTTATGAATATGCCAATCATCTTTATCGGGAGCATTATTGATCACCTTGCCTTTGTGCCTATACGTGAGCTCCTGCTTCTTCAATTCGACGGCCTTTTTAGTGGCCTTTATGGTTGTTGATGTCCCAATTTCTTCTTCTCTACTCTGTTTGGTAGCCACCTCGGTTGTTGATGATGATGTTCCAATTACTTCTCCTCTCCTCTCCTCGGTAGGCACCTTAGTTGTTGATGATCCAACTTCCTCTTCACAACAACATAAAAAAGAAGGCCTACTTCGAATTCCTATAAGCTCGCAGATGCCATCTCTTGAAAGACTGCCTATAAAGGAGATAAGAGAATACATAGAGGAATGGTGACACAAGTAAATAGACAAGCTCTCCTTTAAGCTCAGCTCTCATATCAGGAGAAGATCACATCTAAGTCAAAACTAAGAAAAATAATAGCTTCATTGGCACCCAACTCATCAGCAAACCTTGTCAGTGGTGACCTTGCTCTCCAATGATAGATCACCATAAAGATGGTATGTCAAACAAAAAAAGATTCAAGTAAAAAAAATGCAAATACCTAGGGAAATCACAGTAGGACTCAAAGCGAATATCTAAGCAAAAAATAGTCAAGGAATATGACTTACGAGCCAAAGTTCTCTCTACGAAACGAAACTTTAAGAAGAACATTACTTGTAACTCTTCCTTCCTCAAAATAATAATTCTCTTCACCTCATTTGAAGTCAACGCCATCAAAAATTTCCTTGACAAAGACGGTTGGCACCGAGTTTTATTTACCCACCCGCTCTTGTAGCAGACATAAAATTATCTTATTTTTTTTATCCTTGATTTTACTCTCAAGGCTAATTTGATCCCATTGCAGAATATTGATGAATGTGTTACTTAATTTTGAATAGGTAGGTGAACAACCTAATAGTCCAAAGAGTAAAGATTTTCCTCGAGTACAATATCAAAGAGGTGATTCCTATTCGAAAATTTGGCATCACCTATGCTGAGATAATTTCATCATGATTGAAGATGTCAACCACCTCTCCACAGAGAAGAACTCTCAATCCTAGCTTAAACTGATTGTAGCAAAACATGAGTTCATCTTTGTATATAGTGCTAGGGAACTCTTCCTTCTTGTCCTTACTGAGTTGAATCGACAAGCGCAACATGAACTCGCACTGCGCCAAGTTCACCTCTTCATTAGACATTTTGGAGTGACCGGATAGGTGAGGTTCCAGGAAATCTTAAGCCAACATGGATAAAGAAAGACGAGACAGGGAGTCAAATAACGATAAAACACTAAACTTTCACAATAAATGAATGAATTTTTAAAAACTATTACAAGCGCCCTTATATAGGTGGAACACAGGGGTAAACACATAAGGATAGATCTAGTTATTTTGAATATCATGCTAAAATTATAGAGAATAATAGAAGTCATCAAATAATCATTAATATCGAGGAATCAAGTAAAATTTCGCTCTATTCAAAATAAATCTTTTCATGATTACAACATAACTGATACAAATAGCCACCCATTTCACTAATAGCAGTCACACTGGCTTAGAAGAAAAAAAAACTCAAAACATGGATCCGAGATGACCTCCATGGGAATAAAACCAATTCAAATGAGTTGTTTTAACTCAAATTTGCCACCTGCCATAAACTTGGTTGAGTGTGTGGATTTCCCATATTTATGGAGCATGAGGAGTTTGTTAAGCATGAAATCTTTTTCTTCAGCTCACCGTAAATATCTTTCAATTGTTCATCTCGCCCTTCAACGCTATTAATTGTTAGAGTTCAACTTGGTTTGCCATGGTAGATGAACTAAGATCATTCAACTTCGAGGTGAGCTCCTCAATCCTCCTCACCTCCTCAATACCTAAACTCACTTTTAATGGCATAAGGGTCACAACCAAAGCAGCTATTATGCACAAACTACATACCCTCTAATTAGCGAGTTCATGTCTGTAATAATAAGTGCGATCTCTTCAACAAATGGTGGAACAACATACTTGGGAGTACTTTGCTCAACTTTCTCATTAGAGGGATCAATTTGACCCTCTGAAAAGGCGGACGCCTCGTTCAATTTTAGCTCACCAACTTTATCCGATCAAGCATGTTGGTTCGCAACTTGATCACCTCCATGAACTCATTGAACATGACAAGAACTGTATAATAATTCTAAGTTCATTATAATTCTCCATGCTCATTTCAATAAAATTTATAAAACAAGCTCATATCTTCCAAACTGTAATTGATTTGTGAAGCCATATGATAGACCCCTCATCTTCTTCATCTTGGCCAAAGATGACTTTAAAATATGTGGCTCTTCCGCACTGAACGTAGGCACTACCGGTGGAGCTTCCTAGGCTCAATAGATTCATCACTAGGGTCTCAAAAAAAAAACACATATTGGGGAACTACTATCAGGTCCTTCGAATCTTTAAATTTTGTACTCTTTTTTTTTTAAATCTACCTTCTCTTTTCTATTTTGTAACAAATCCCTCCATGAGTTTGACCATCCAAATATTAACCTCATCATCCACAATGTTCTCCATTCTTACAGTAAAGAAGCAAAGATTAAAAGGATAAAAAACTTCAAGAAAAAGAAAAACAGACTTCAGGAATAAGAATGATCCAACCAACATTCATTTCTATCTATTTATAGAAATATGGTGGATAGCCCAAACTTTGAGGGAGTTATAAGAATCAACAATTTTATTAATATTTATTTTACATACAAACATACATTAGTATTATTTTATTTTTTTCACAGCTTTACTATTAAAGAAATAAGAGAATCAGAAAACTAAATAAGCATAGTAAAAAAATCCTTGGATCAAGTTCAAGATCTGAATCTATAAAAATCATTGAGCCAACTAGATAACTTGGTTAGGGAACTCGACCGGATAGCTCACCGATGGTGACAATTGAATAACTTGCCTATGGTGGTCACTTGACCTATGCAGCTGGACAACTCTCCCATGAGATCAACGCACTAAGAGAATAAGCCTCTTAAGGGACTAATTCTCCCAAGAAGATCAGCTCACCCATTGGTAAGTTGGCTGATATGAAAATTAAAGATAACAAGTCTGAGGGAAAGCATTGATGAATGGTTACCAATGCAAAGTATTACCAGGATAATATTAATTAGAAAGCCCATACTAGAGAACGAAAAGGAAGTTGGATCAAAGATCTATTGAGATTCGTGTATATTTATAACATATAAGCCAACCCCATTATAAATAGAAGAGATTATTATAAAAGAGGGATAGATCCCTAGATATGGAAAGATCTATTTTCTCTGTTGGTTTTCTCCTATTCTTTGGGCTCAAATTTGCTCATATTCTAGCTCTTTCTTTAGTGATGAATCCACGTACAAATCAGGATCCAACAAAATTCATATGATAATATCAATATACAAGTGACTATTACTGCACATCATAATGATAACACCACTCCTAAACAGAGATAAAAAGAATAACTGCAAAGGAGTATATCGAAGAATCGCCATGCCAGTTCAGTCTCAAGTAAGCAAGCAAGATTAAGAAAAGTGGCAATTATTCGAATTTAATGAGTTGAGTGTGCAAGCACCCACATCATATGATAACAAATAGGTGCAAACAGCTTTAAAAGCATGCATTTTGATAATGCTGACCTTTAGAACACATTGTGAAAAGAATTAAGCAGTTTCTCAAGTCTCACTTTGTACACGAGCAGTGTGACCACAAGCCTGAACCAAACTCCTTTAGGAATCATAAAAGTTTCAACAATATACATTGCTTAACATACTTTAACAACTTCTAAGAACGTGAAAAAGCTATAGAGTAAGAAAAGAATAACTTACCATGATTCCGATCAAGCAATGTTCTCCTGTAAGATACGTAAACGGGCTTCTTTCTGGGGAAAATGTTACCTGCTAGCCACGGGAACCAATTCATACAATCCAGGGCTATTAACTCTTCGGCAAAAGATAGAAGCCCCACCAAATCGCTGCTGAATGTATATAACAACAGCTAACAAAACTCCTCCACACGGAATAATTATATCCCATGCAAGAGAATATAGGTCACCGTTGGGCCTAGCATAGATGTAAGATGAATCAAAATGAGGAATGTAGTGTCTTGATCGGTAAGCATCATACACATGAGGAAGTGTCCTAAGAATTGTAGTTCCAACATAAAAGGAAGGGGTAAGGGAAGTTTCTTTGGAATTACATAGTGCATTAAGAATAACTTGAGGAAATAAAAAACCATCAAGTATCAACCCAGCAAAAAATTGCATATCCTCCCAGTGAGAATGATGAGTTTCAACAGCCATATGTGGCACTTGATGGAAAGTTTTCTGAGATTTCAGGTTAACCAACCAAGCAATCAAACCTCCAGCAATATATATAAACAGGCATACTTGGAAGGCTTTTATCTCAGCAAGCCACAAACTGTTTTTGCTTTCATTTGCTGATCTTGCAGACCATGCAACTTGAAGCAAGCGGACATGTAATAAGAAAGCGGCCATTGTCATCAATCTTACAACAACCTCATTTACCTCAAGCCAACCACCACTACCCTGTAAAACATTCTGTTTTTTGTGATTTGTCAAGACTGCTTCAAAGTTAAGCACCAAAACAATCATATGACCCAATGTGAGAAATGCAAGCATTGTGATGGAAATGAAAGAAAGCACGCCAGGGTGTTTACTAATATGGAGTAGTTGCAAACCTACAAAAATGCAAGAAAATGTTAAGGATATAAGGATCATGGTGATCTCTATATCCATCCTTGAAACTGATTGAGCAGCTTGTCCCCCGTACATCACATAAGAAGTGATCTCAAAAGGTTTAAAGAAGAGTGGATCCCCGTTTTCTCTTGTGCTTCTAATGGTACCATTTAGATGTTCTCCAGGTTCTGGATTAAGAGGGGGAATCTGTAAATTTATGAGAATACTGCAGTCCTTGGAATCTAGACTAATCCCCTGTTTGTCAAACAAGGAAGAACGGCAGCCAACCATACATATTATCCCTGTTTTAGCATTGTAAATTCCTTCAGCTGATATATCTGCTGCATCAAGACTGTTAAAAAAAGCATTTTGAGGATAGGTGAGTTTAAAGCTGTAGCTTATGTTCCAAATGCTCTCATTATTCGTAACTAATGGAAGGTTCTCAATGGATGGATAGTGATAGATTATCTCACCCAAAGCTACTGGATTTGCAAAGCCACTCCCCAGCTTTCCCTCAGATGTTGTTATATGTAAATAAAACATAAAGTCTCTAACATTCCTTGGATCGGGGTATTTCTTTTTCCCAGATTTAAGAACATCACCCATTGTGCAAGATTTTTTCACAGCATCCATATGTGTATATTTGTATCTTGAACCATTATCATGGTCCCTATTGTATCCAAAACTGTGAAAAAGAATAGATTTAAAGTATCCAGGACTAGTTTTGTTCAAGTTACTCCATATTGAACCAATAGTACTGCTCCTGCTCACTATTGTCAGAACTGCAGGGAATGCCAGAGTTATGCCAATTGAGCAATCATCCACAAGATTATCAGCCACAGGATCAGTGAATGTCTTGACACGGCAAGCTATGAGACAAAGCTGATTCTTTGTCGGAACCCAACTCCCTTCAGCAACCATAGCCATTTCAGGTTCCAACATCATCATAGATGAAAGGCCACTATAGTTAGAAAATGATAAAACTAATCGAACTTTTCCATCATCAGCACAATCCAGCGAAGTAAGTTTAAGAAATGCTCGCTGAAACCCAGAAGGGCCGCAGTTCCTATTAGAGCAGTTGCTCCTATACTCCATTTTGAACCTTGTCCTCAGAAGGCCGCCAGTAGCATCGCAAATTGATTGATGCCTGTCAACAAAACCCATCGATTGGCCCACAGAATCAAGTGAGGAGCATTTACTCCTTGCCTCGAAAACCTTCGTGTAGTTGTACTTCCTCTGTGCATAAGCCATAACCGCGATTCGATCAAAGTATTTTGGGCTGCTCTCCAAATCCAAGCTGTCCAGATATCCACTAACAACGCTTGAGGTAATATTAGCAGCACTAGGGTATTTGAGCTTAAAGACGACAGATAGGTCGACAGAGGTACCGTCTTTGGAACGCCCGGAGCCAGTTCCCACCATGCAAAGTTTGCCGGTTTCTTCAGACCAAAAGCCGGAGAGGTCAAAACTAAGCCTTCCCCGCTGGTTAAAGCTTCGCGGGTTCAACGGACGGACAAGTCGCAGCGAGCGGCCGCGGGAGCTGAAGTTCCGGTGAGCAAAATGAATGCCTCCGCCACGAAAGATCAGGGTTCCGACGATATGGAGTGTGCCAGGGGTCTGGGTGAGCAGCACCGATCGGCTGTAGAACGCGAAGGTTCTGGGGATGGATAAATCATTGCCAGGATCCTTGCCAAGCAGGCGATCGCCGCCGACAAAGTATCCACTCGAGAGGCGAAAGGAGCTATCAAAGGAAGCACGAAGATCAGAAGTGGTGGATTGCGGCACGATGGAGCCACAATGATCAGCGTAGGCGATATTGGCGGAAGAAGCGCGGAAGGGGAAGGCGGCGAAAAAAACCAAGAGAAGAATAAAGGGATGGATCCATTGATCAAATTTACGCGAAAGGATGTAAGAATTAGCTATAACCTGAGATCTACAGATAGTAGGAGGAGGTGAAGAAGAGCAGGACGGCGAAGCAGCCATTCTCCAAATTTCAAGTTCCTCTGTTTCTTCCTCCCCTTTGCTGTTATGTAGTCATTCACTTTCGGTGTCATCGGCCAGTGTCATCGGCCATCGTGTCCAGTTCTCTTAGAGTTTAATTATTATTTATTTATTTAGTTTTTTTCCAAGAAAATTGAGGTCTCCATCAATATTTTATTTCATTGATAAAAAAAATACAAAAAAGATCATTCTTACAAAATAATATATAATAAGCACAAAGAAACTAAACTACATAAAAAATAAAAATGAAAAATTAGTCTCCATCAATATTTTATTTCATTGATAAAAAAAAATACAAAAAAGATCATTCTTACAATATAATATATAATAAGCACAAGAAACTAAACTATACAAAAAATAAAAATGAAAAATTGAAAGGACTACAAGATGCTCTATGAGTCTTAATAGCCTCCAATCCACACCAAGTCCAATCACTAACATGCCTTGTTGCACCACAGTACATGATAGTTGCAATATAATTTTAGAGTGGGTTGTAGAGTTTTGGTTGATTATTCTCAAGCAATTTGACCATAGGGATAATAAGAAATTTGTAGGAGAGAGTATTGTGAGTGTGTAGAGATACTTACTGGTAGTAGAGTTTGCCTGTAAGTCTCCAAATATGAGAGAGTGCTAATATGATATAATTTGGTAGAAATATTTCATTAGAGTGAGAAGAAGCATTTATAGCAAAAGAACTCATAGTTCAATCCTCTTAAACTATAAAATTGAAAGTTTTTTACCATTTCAATGAATTTGATTTGTAGCTAAGGTTTTGTGTGTTGGATTTATGAAATTCTTAGTTTTTGTATGTATCATGAATTTAGGTGTCATTTTGCTGCCTTGTTCAATTCTTTTCTTTATTACTGAGTAATTATATTGGTCATTGTTGACCTCACTTTTATGAGGATCTACCCTAAATCAACATTCAAGATCAGGACAAAATCTAAACCACCCAAATCAATTTGAGGTCTTAGGGATTCTTCTGCAAACCCTAGGAATAATATGATCATCAAATCTATCTTAAGGAAGGAGTCTAC